CCGCTCCCGGCCACCGCAGCCTCGACCTGCCGGGCTCCGGAGATCCTTCTGCCTCAGCCTTCCGAGTAGCCGGAATTACAGGCGTGCGCTACCGGCTGATTTTTTTATTTACTGTAGAGATGAGGTCTCGCCAAGTTGCCCAGCGGGTCTCAAACCCACGGGTTCAGGCAATCCACTCACCTCAGCCTCCCAAGGCATGGGATTACAGGCTGAGCCACCGAGCCCGGCAAAAATTTTTTTTTTAATTTTTAAATCCCACTGGTAAAATTAAGTACATGGACAATGCTAGCATACTCTAATATTGGAATTGTGGCATGTAATCTACTCATAACTCTAGTATGACTCAAAAGATAAATATATTAAAAACAATAATAGCTACTGCAACATATTAAGAAGTAGGTAATATAAAAATATGTAGCCTGAGAAAACTAAAAGTCAAAATGTGGGGAATGTGGAGTTAAAGTGTAGGGTTTTTGTTTTTTCTTTGTTTTTATTCATTTATTTGTTGTCTAAGATAAGTTGTTATCTCTTTAAAATAACTTGTTATAGCTGTAAGATGTTTTTTGTCTACAGCCTGGGTGACAGAATAAGACTCTGACTCACAAAAAATAAAAAATGTTTTTTATAAACCTCATGGCAAATCACAATGCAAAAAACCTAAAAAGTAATGAATTAAAACATACTACCAGTAAAAATAGCTTAATTACAAAGGAAGAAAGGAAGAGGAGTTAGAAAATAAGCAATAAAATGACAATTTTAAGTTCTTACTTATCAATAATGACACTGAATGCTAATGGACTCAAAAATTTTCCACTTAAAAGGTATAGATTAGTGGCTGAATGGATAAAGAAACAAGACCCAACTATACATTACCTACAAGAAATCCATTTCACCTATAAAAACACATAGACTGAAAGTGAAGGGGGAGCAAAAGATATTCCATGCAACTGGAAAGAACAAAAAGAGCAAAAGTAGCTATATTTATATCAAATAGACTACAATCAAACTAAAAAAGACAAAGGATGTCACTATATAATGACAAAGGGGTCAATTCAGCAAGAGGATATAACAATTATAAAATATCTATGCACCAAACACTAGAGCTCCCAAGCACATAAAGCAAACATAATTAGATCTGAAAGGGGAGATAGACTGCAATACAGTAACAGTAGGAGACTTAAACAGTCCACTCTCAGTAATGAACATTCAGACAGAAAATCAACACAGAAACACCAATTAAACTACACACTAGACCTAATAAACCTAACTGATATTTACAGAACACTAGCACATTTTGCCTAACTACTGAAGATTACACATTTCTTTTTCTTTTTTGATACAGGGATTCTCTCTGTCACCCAGGCTGGAGTCTTGAACCCCTGGGCTCAAGTAAGCCTCCCATCTCAACTTTCTGAGTATCTGGGACTACATGTGTACGCTACCATGCCCAGCTAAAACATACATTCTTTTCATCAACACATGGAACATCCTCCAGAAAGGACCATATATTAGTCCACAAAACAAATCTGAACGAATTCAAAAAGCAAAAATCATATCACGTTATCCTTGTGACCACAATGGAACAAAACTACAAATCAATAACAAGAGGAATGTCAGAAACTCATAAACACATGGAAATTAAACAACATGCTCCTGGTTGACCAATAAGCTAATGAAGAAATTAAAAAAACATTTTAAAATTTATTGAGACAAACAAAAATATAAATACAATCTACCAAAATTTACAGGATGCAGCAAAAACAGTACCAAGAGGGAAATTTTTAACAACTAAAAAGTAGAAAGACTTCAAATAAACTACCTAACAATGCAATTCAAGGAACTAGAAAAGCAGTAGAAAACTAAACCCAAGATTAGTAGAAAGAAATATATAATAAAGATCAGAGCATAAATAAATGAATTTGAGACCAAAAAAACAGAAGGTAAGCAAAATTAAAAGGTGTTTTTAAAAAAAGATAAATAAAATCAACAAACATTTGGCCAGAACTAAAAGGAGAGAAAATCAAAATAAATAATACCAGAAATGAAAAAGGAAACATAGCAACTGATACCACAGAATACAAAGAATC